CTATAGTTTGCAAACTATAGTCTGTAAAATTACAGACTGTAGTTTGCAAAATGCATATTGTAGTTTGCAAAAATGTTGACTGCAAAATTGCAGATTGCAGTTTGCAAACTACAGTTTGCAATTTTGTAAACTACAGATTGCATATTGCAGTTTGCACATCATCAAGAATCTTTCTTCACTCAATTAAATAATAAACAACACATTATTATGTTATAGTGCAAAACCTTTAAAATTTTACAAAGACAGTAGAATGACCTACTTAGATATATTTCATGTCATGCTACACAATTTAAATAAAAATTAAAAACTTTTGAAGATAGATCAAACTCTATACATAAACTGTGTGTTCATACAATTAAAACATTGAATACATATATACCTCAACATCAGAAAATTTAGATACTAAAATAATGCATACCTCACTAGCAGCTACAATAATGACATGAAGAGTATAACCTTGCCCAGAATTTCCTACATCCAATAATTTAAAAGAGCAACAGTAAGTTTCTAAGTTATACCTCAACCTCAATAGGAAATAATAAAGCCTAAACCATATTTGAACTATACAACATATAAACAAAATACACCATTTTACATGGGCAAAGTAATGATATTGTAATACTATAATGTAGAGTAAAAGAAAAAAAACACAAAACAAAATATTCTCGAAAGTGAAACAATAAGTATTTGATCATATGGTTAGTCAAACATTAATAAGAGGGAATTTGAATTATTTTCTCCCAGTAAATGAAGAAAAAGAGAAAAGAAGTCTCACTTGCAACATAAACCAACTTCACAGGTTACTAGACTCAAAACAAAAACGTACTAGGTACCTAAAATGGAAAAGAAGTTACCTAAAATTGTTTTCGAAAAGGTAGGACAACTTTGTTAGAAGGCCAAGCAATTGTACTCCCAACAACATCTTCAACAAAAACCATTTCAGATGCAGACTTCCATAAAAACGCATTAGGGACCTTGGCTATATCAATCCAAACTCTCATAGCATTAGGTCTAATAGGAACATAATGAACAAGTGCTTTTGGATCATCTGATGAGAAACTTCCTTCAGCTACTACTTCAGTAGACCCATTCCAATCAAGCAACATGCATTTAGTTTTGTGGGGGATTGTTTTCACAATCTGCAACACCAAATGGATACAATAAAACAATTTCCATTCTCAAATGAAATGACTAAGGGAAAACATATACATTTATTGACACATAAACATCTTGATATAAAAATAATCTAACTAATACATCTTCGGATTCTTCAACTGTTTGTCTTTGACCCTGTAAAGTTCATGTGAGAATATGAGAAAAAATACAAAGTATAATTATGAAATTAAAGAAAAGGTTTTAGTGATACTAGCCTGATTTTGATTCAAAGCTAGGTTGAACAAGTCTTTCATATGGTTCATTTCCATTTTCATCTCCGCTTGCTGTTGTGCCATTTGAGCTATAAGGTTGTCCCTTTGAGCTATTATGGACAATTGTGTAAGAGTTACACCCTTTCCAAGTCCCTTCACATGTCCACCTTTATCAGGACCTAATACCTTTGTTATAGCATCTTCTCTCAAGTTTGTAGGAGTTGGCAAACTTGAATCATTACCCATTTGTTGTAACTTTTCCTATAAATGCAAATAACACAACATCAAGATTTTTCTAATTATATAATACCATATATATAACAAAGTACTTATAATTGCTTCTGCAGTCTTGGTATTGATTGGCTTACCATTCTTTTTCTTGTGAGCTTCAATCCATACCTCAATTTTGGACACGACCCGCTTCCCAGTTTTCTTTTTCTATCAAAAAATGAAAATAATCATAAATGTTTATACTATTTTTCAATTTAAAAGTACAATCTCATAACAACGAATGAGACATTACTATATCCTCAGTCATGCGAGCCTAACCCGTTCGACCACCTGTGTAGGAAGTTTGTTTTTTCCTCTTATTTTTCATTTCTTCACTTTTACCCTAAAATAACTATATGCAACTACATCAACAATATGCATATGCATATATAATATAATGACCATATGTGTGCAATGTTATAATTACCTTAAACTTTGGCCCTAATTTTTCTTCCACAAACTTTTTCCATTCACTAATACTCTTGATGTTATCAGGTTTGAGGGCCATTATTTCCTCTTCATTTTTGGCCATCTCAATCCGATTATCACCATTCAAAGCAATGGTCTTCATTTTAGTTGGACCTCTTTTTTTCTTAGGCACAGTAGTGGAATCCATAAGTACTTATCTTTGCCTCAATACCTGTTAAACAAACCAAAGAAAGTTAATTATTAAGAATCTAAAATAACATTTAAATTACAATTAATTATTAAGAAATTAATAAATGCAAAAAGCCCCATTACCTATAAACAAGGTGCAACTACAATTACACGATATACAATATGTAAATGAATAGATAACTAGCTTCAATCCACAAAATAAAAAGTAATAAACGGTGTACATAAAAGAATTATAGTTCCGTTTAACTTAAATTTACAAAAGTACATAAATCACACCAATAGACCTTCACAATCCTCTCTCACGTAACAAACTTCCTCACTATCATCATAAATGTTCATATTGCGTGTTGTAACATATTTCGGTCTACTAGTCAAATCCTCATCCTCATTATACATTTCCAACTCATAGTAACCTCTCAGTGGTGCCTTCAACACAACATACCAACTAGGTGAATCGATTTCTCTAGAGTAAAACACTTGTTTCGCTTGAGATGTTAGGAGAAATGGCTCCCTTAGAAACTGATTCTGACTTTTGTAATCGCCCTATAGTATGCAACTACATCAACAACTTGTGAAGTATCTTTTGCACTTGCTCGACATATTGTTGTTGCCTCAATTGAAACACCACTATTTTGTGTTGATTCGTCAGCATCCTTTGTGTGAAACCTTTTTCCATTTATAACATAACCATTATAACTCATGGCATGTTTCCTTGGACCATTTGCAAGCCACTTTAGTGTTTCTCAATCCTCACATATGGAGGTTGGGAACGAAACCTATACAAACAATTTTAAAGGGGTGTTACTATTATTTATGAGATGACTTACAAAGTATTTAGCAATCATTCAAAGTATAATACCTTTTCTTTCAACCATGTTGCAAAATAATTTGCATGGGTCTTTTAGAGTAAGTTGTGATTTCTCTCAAGATTCTTTTTGGATTGCTTTAACTCTTCCAAATGCATCCTAACATGAAACCAAGTAGTGCAAAAGTCATATACAATGTAAATAGTTATCTAAATTGGAAATCTAGAGATAAATACTTACAATAGAAATGGTTCAGTCACTGTTGTGTTAAATAACACATAACAATGTGCATGCTCTAACACTTCATCACTTATTAACATTGGCTTTCCTCCCAAGATTGGATTACCTTCTAGAATTACGTCGGAAAAGAAATCTTGATTATGAGCATTTGATCATTTCCTCCAAAATCATTTTTAAAATACCAACTAAAGAAAGGAACAGTTTCACCAACAAGATAACATTCTGCAATACAACCTTCAGGTCGTGCACGATTTTTAACACATCTTTTGAGAATCTTCATGTACCTAAATAAAAATATATCACATTAAATTAATGTCTTTAAATAATAGATGAATTTAAACAGAGATAGGTTTAACGATTGATCACCTTTCAAACGGATACATCCATCGATGCTGAATGGGTCCGCCTAGTCGTACTTCTTTTCCTAAATGAATTGAAAGGTGGATCATGATATCAAAGAATGACGGGGGAAAGAATCACTCAAACATACATATGGTTTCAACAACTTCATCTTCTAGTGCAACCATAACTTCTCTATCAATAACTCGTTGGCATAATTTATTAAAAAATGCACATAATCACATAATCGCATAATTGCATTCTTGGTCCCTTAGGTAACAACCCTCTTAATGCTACCACCAATAATTGTTTTATTAGAACATGACAATCATGCGATTTAAGACCTATAATCTTGCATTCTTCAATTGATACACAATTCCCAATGTTTTAGCTATACCCGTCAGGTAACTTTAGATTAAATAATCTCTTACAAAATTTTTCTTTCTCCGTCTTTGATAACGTAAATGGAGCCGCTGGAAGGTATGTTCTACGCCCATGATCTTTTGGATGCAACTCATGACGAATTCCCATATCTTCTAAGTCTTTTTGAGCATTGATTCCGTCATTTGTTTTTCCACTGATGTCCAATAATGTGCCAATGATACTCTCACAAATGTTCTTTTCAATGTGCATAACATCCAAATTATGGCGTAATGGAAACTCCTGAAAATAAAATTTGCAAAAAGTTATAAGCAATACAAAAATCATATAAAAATTGTGGATAACAACATAAATAAAATTCTACAAAACCAATAAGATGTACCTTCCAATATGGCAACTCGAAAAAGATGGATTTTTTTTTCCCATAATGGAGTAGCTTCGCAATCTCTTTTCCTTTTCTTCCTAGAACTCTTTCCCCAATCATTCTCAAAATCCTTAAGAGTAGACAAATTTTTTGCACCATTCATGATCATATGGCTTTTTCCCTTTTCTTCCTTTCCATCAAACCAAGCCTTTTTTTTTTTTTTTTTTCTAAATAGATGAGTAGGTGATAAAAATCTCTTATGACCCATATAACAGAATTTCCTACTAAACTTTAACCAATGAACATTTGTCTTGTTACCGCATAATGGACATGCTACTTTTCCCTTGTTGTACATCCAGAAAGATTTCCATAGGCTAGAAAATCATTTATGGTCCACATCAAAATAGCCCTTAAATTAAAACAAGAATTAGTGTACAAATCATAAACATGTACACCATTATTCCATAATTCTTGTAGATCTTTTATCAGAGGCTGTAAATAAACATCAATGTCCTTACCCGGTTGTTTAGGTCCTGGAATTAATAAAGTCAACATGATATTTTCTTTCTTCATGCATAACCAAGGTGCCAAATTGTATGTAACAAGCATTATAGGCTAACAACTATAAGTTGTGCTCATGTGTGAAAAAGGATTAAAGCCATCAGCAGCCAAGCTAAGTTTAAGATTTCTAGGATCTTCTGCAAAAGCAGGCCATTTGTAATTAACCAAGTCCCATGTGACAGAATCCACTCGGTGGCGCATCTTGCCATCTTCACTTTCGTGTTTGAAATGCCACTGTAATTCTTCCGCAATTTTGGGTGACTTGAACATCCTTTTAAACATTGGTATTAAAGGAAAGTATCTCAAAACTTTAGCCGGGACACCCTTCCTAATTTTCTTCGTTCTTTCATCTACCTTCCATCTCGAATAGCCACACTTTGGACAACTTTGCAAGTTTTTTATTTCTTTCCTAAACAAGCAACAATCATTCGCACAAGCATGAATTTTGTCATACCCCAAATCAAACTCCTTAATAAATTTTCTCACAGAGTAGACTGATTTGAGAATCACATTATGCTCTGGTAACATGTCTCCAAGCATCTCTAAAAGGCCATCAAAACTATTGTCAGTCCAACCATTCATAACTTTGTGTTTATATAAAGCTACAATGGCAGACATTTTTGTATACTTGGCACAACCAGGATATAAAAGAGTTTCAGCATCTTCCAATGATTGCGTGAAATCATTGTCTCTTCTCTCTTCTGATGTTGATGCATAATGATTGGCTCCCATATATGCACTAGTAATTAAGTTAAAAGCATCTGAACTCTTTACTTGAGTAACAGTTTCTGTAATATCTTCTATTTCACCTTGATGGAACCAAATTGTATATGTAGGATCCATTCCTCGTATAATCAGATGCTCATAAGCAACGTCTATACCATGATAGGTCAAGTTGTGACAATCTTTACAAGGGCGTAAAATCTTTGCTTCATAGCCTGCATTCTTTTCAGCCATCCTGACAAAGTCCCATGCACCTTGAATGTATGCATCCATAGCTCTATCAAAAGAGAAAAAAAAAAAAAAAAAAAAACCTAAAACATCTAAAACCTTGTTAAGGAAAATCATTATTACTTCATACACATATGGAAGTGTGTCTTTTAATATTTTTTTTACCTATTCAGATGCACCCAATCCTTATTCATCATCATCATTACTTAATCTACACAATTATTAAAAGCCAAACAATACATGAATAATTATAGGTAAACATGGCAAGAACATTACGAAAACAACAAAACATGAGTTGAATGTAACCAACATAATATGCAAATTCCATTGAACAACAAAATAATGCTTACTCTCTGAATACTTAATGGTTGTAGCTTATTAACTCCAATCCTTCTTGTTGCAATAATCTTTAATTCCCTCTTGATATGGGACAAATTTTGTTCTGCACAAACATAAACACTATTACAATTTGACAAATACAATAAATTCATATTCAAATATGCACATGCAAATTGTTTGAGACTTCGCTTTTTGCAAACTGCAGTCAATAAGTACGATATCTAAATTTAAACATCTAAATTTATGATCTAGAAGTCCTATGATATCTTTATTCTACATTAAAAAAAAAAAAAAAAAGAACACTCTTCCTAACAACAAACCTGAACAACAACCCAGTATAAACTGCAAATTTGAATTACAGTTATATCGATTCTTTTTGGTTCTATGAGAGATAGACAATATTAACAAGTGTAAGCATTATGAAACTAAAAAAGATATACCTGCCAAGGTGACATTCCATAAAAGAAGCTCCGAAGCTCCTCATCCTCCACATCTCTAATGGCACGAGCATGGGGTGATAGTTTCACAACTTGATCTTGCAAACATATAAGTTTGATCAGTAATTTGAAACTTATAGCAAAGAAAACCCTTCCTCTGAAATCTGAACCCTTAAAAAATGCTGAGAAGGCTCCATTTTAGATATTTCAGTATTCTTTCCGCCAAAGATGCAATAAGTATCTCAAATTAGTAAATAACATAACATTTAAAAAGGCCAAAAGGAGTATACAAGAGGAGAACAACAAAAGAAAAAACTAAAAATAGAAAATACTCCTCAACTCTAAAGCAAAGCAAACATCATATATGCTTAATTAACCAATCAAAAAATTACTTGAATCATCATCATTGCTACGACCCCACCCTTTATCATCAATATTCTTATACTCAAAATCTTTAAGGTCATAACTGCATCTTCAGGATAATACACATAAAATGCTAGTTAACATCTATGTCAAGCTCCCAATGTCACTAAAATAGTCACTCCAAAAACCTTAAATCAACTACCATTGATTTTCTTTTGTGATCATAATTTTCTCAACCTTGCAACCAACANCCTAAAACATCTAAAACCTTGTTAAGGAAAATCATTATTACTTCATACACATATGGAAGTGTGTCTTTTAATATTTTTTTTACCTATTCAGATGCACCCAATCCTTATTCATCATCATCATTACTTAATCTACACAATTATTAAAAGCCAAACAATACATGAATAATTATAGGTAAACATGGCAAGAACATTACGAAAACAACAAAACATGAGTTGAATGTAACCAACATAATATGCAAATTCCATTGAACAACAAAATAATGCTTACTCTCTGAATACTTAATGGTTGTAGCTTATTAACTCCAATCCTTCTTGTTGCAATAATCTTTAATTCCCTCTTGATATGGGACAAATTTTGTTCTGCACAAACATAAACACTATTACAATTTGACAAATACAATAAATTCATATTCAAATATGCACATGCAAATTGTTTGAGACTTCGCTTTTTGCAAACTGCAGTCAATAAGTACGATATCTAAATTTAAACATCTAAATTTATGATCTAGAAGTCCTATGATATCTTTATTCTACATTAAAAAAAAAAAAAAAAAGAACACTCTTCCTAACAACAAACCTGAACAACAACCCAGTATAAACTGCAAATTTGAATTACAGTTATATCGATTCTTTTTGGTTCTATGAGAGATAGACAATATTAACAAGTGTAAGCATTATGAAACTAAAAAAGATATACCTGCCAAGGTGACATTCCATAAAAGAAGCTCCGAAGCTCCTCATCCTCCACATCTCTAATGGCACGAGCATGGGGTGATAGTTTCACAACTTGATCTTGCAAACATATAAGTTTGATCAGTAATTTGAAACTTATAGCAAAGAAAACCCTTCCTCTGAAATCTGAACCCTTAAAAAATGCTGAGAAGGCTCCATTTTAGATATTTCAGTATTCTTTCCGCCAAAGATGCAATAAGTATCTCAAATTAGTAAATAACATAACATTTAAAAAGGCCAAAAGGAGTATACAAGAGGAGAACAACAAAAGAAAAAACTAAAAATAGAAAATACTCCTCAACTCTAAAGCAAAGCAAACATCATATATGCTTAATTAACCAATCAAAAAATTACTTGAATCATCATCATTGCTACGACCCCACCCTTGACCATCAATATTCTTATACTCAAAATCTTTAAGGTCATAACTGCATCTTTAGGATAGTACACATAAAATGCTAGTTCACATCTATGTCAAGCTCCCAATGTCACTAAAATAGTCACTCCAAAAACCTTAAATCAACTACCATTGATTTTCTTTTGTGATCATAATTTTCTCAACCTTGCAACCAACAACTCCCATTCCCCTACTCCCAAAAGGAAATACATAAGATAGAGAGAAGAAAATGAATATAATGACAATGATAACTGCAGTCTGTATTTTTGCAAGCTGCAGTTTGCAAACTGCAGTCAATAACCTGTCATTCAAGGTTAGCTTCCCCTCATGCTTGCTTCATACAACATTTGAGTATTGTTAGCTTCCTCAGCTCTTATCTCCATTTCTGATGATTTTCTATTCTATCTCTTTTTGCTTTATTTTTCACCTATCCCTCTCTCATATTTATATTATTTATCTCTCCTGTGTACAATATTCATTTTAAAATAGTATGATGCTTATGCACCACTCATTAGATCTGAATATGCAGTTTCATTAGATCTGAAAGGTTGACCTCTCTAGAATTGATATATTCTTTGTCCAATTATTGACTTCTCTGAAATTACATAATTTCCTAGAAGTTTAATCTTTTTCTCCATTCAATTGAATTTTCAATGAAATTGACTCTATATGACAAGGAAATAATATAACAAAATAGACATCACATTGTTAAATTTCAAATATACAAAACCAGGTCTTAGATAAAACAAGCATACTAATTCCTGCAGAAAAATAAGACTTTCCAAATATTCCAGTGAAGTCAAGTCTTGAAGGATCAGACTTTTCAACTGAAGATGCATGCAAGCTATCAACTTTTGATCAATGATTAAATCAACAAGGAGAAGTTCATCAAATTCAGAAGTGTATTCAAATCTCCTCTCTCTGCAGTTGTTAGTGTAAAATAGGAGTTACAAAGTTTATGCAGGCTGATATTCAAATGCCAAACGACATTGTGCAGTTGCCTCCAAAACATTCAGTCAAGTTCAAAGATTTTAGGCTTGATCTGACAGGTTATTGACTTCTCCTCAATTATAATTTCCAAGAATTTTACCCTTTTGTCTGTGTAACTTCATTGACCATTGATACCATAACTTCATTGACCATTGATACCATAACTTCATTAACCATTTATACTATATAACTAGGAAATATTATACCAAATTAAATAAGGAATCTATATATACAATCCATAAACCAACTACCCAAAAAAATAAAAAAGGAAAAGAAAATTTCTCAATACCCGATCGTCGTCATTAGTCTCCTTAGCACACTTGATTTCTGAATCAATAACCTGTAGCAGAGACTCATTAGAACTAGGCTTTTTAGTCACAACATCTGAAGAGAAGTGAAGTTGAGGCACAAAAGGGCTCAAAGTTTGCAAGCTGCAGTCTGCATTTTTGCAAGCTGCAGTCTGCATTTTTGCAAGCTGCAATTTGCAAAAATGCAAGAAAATGATTCACTTGAACCGTAGCTTCACTAATTTGCCTCTTAAAGGATGAGGGCTTTGATTTAGGGTTCAATAGGTTATGGGTATTGGAGATTTTAAGCTAAAATTTTGATGAAACCAATGATTTTCACTAGATTTTTCTGAATGAAGATGATTAAGTTTAGGGTATTTTGTTTGAGTGAGTAGGTTGGAAGAGTTGAAAATGCTCTAAGTGTAGGGTGGCTTCATTAAGATAACAAAAAATTATTATAGAGGGAAGTTTGTAGCTGAAATTTTAGTGAAGAAGTAAAATTGCAAAAGTGGTGTGAAGAAGATGAGTGAATGAGGTATTAGGTATTTTTTTTTTGGGGGAAATTTTGTTTGGCAGGTATACAAGTTTTTTCCCGGTTAAAGTTTAAGAAAATAGCCTTTGTTATTATATTTTGATCTAGTAACACTTTTAAGTGTTACCATATTTTAATTTAGTAGAATCAATATTATTTCAATACACGCAAATTGCCTACGGGTAGGGAGACGCTGCCCGTTGCACCCCTACCCATTGACCGGGCAACGAGACTCCCAAATGCGTATGCGTGACCCCTTATTGTTGAAGTGGTGGACAACTCCGACACTTGGGAGACGAAACGACGCCAAAAAGTAACGAAATCACACCGAGAATTAAGGTGAAGAGTCAAGACAGTGAAATGGCTTTTTCAGGCGAGATTTCGAGTCAACCAATCTTGGGGAAGGTGGATCTGACCTTAGGGAGTATAGACCAGCCCACCGAAAAACTAAGAAATTAAAGTCATCGAGAAGATGAATGGTCACAGATGGAGGAAGCTTAATGGTCGTTGGAATCCAGGAAGGTCTTACATGATGACGGCCGGTCGTTGGAGAAGGAAAATGGTCGTCGATGGTGGAAGTTGGACGGTCTCCAGAAAATGGATGAAGATGGGTGGATGTTTTTGGCTTTAAATAACCTTCCATCTTCCTTTTATACTATTTGTAAAAACATTTGAGTTTGGTCCCTACATGAATGAGATATAACAAAGTAAAGCCCA